AACCCCAAGTGCCTGATCAGACACTTTATTTGCAAGAGGCAGAAATACACTTATGCAGCTATTAGGAGGGAAGGCAGGGAATTTCCTCAGCCACCCATGAAAAAAGGTAAGGAGGCTTAATCTGTGACTGTCTAATCTTTAAGAGATCATGGAAATTTGGTGGACACAGAGCACGATTCTCTATCCTTGAAAAGCATTTTCTAAAGCACAGATGTTTTCCTCCTAACTGTGAATGCTGGCTGGCCTGTCTGGACCCTCTTTCAGTGCTCAGCAGACAGTACGTTTTGGAGTGGCTTGTCCCCTATAATGTGGGGCTGATGTTCATTGCTAGGTGGAAAATACGTCTTAGGCTAGAAAGAAATGAACCAGTATTACACAAACATCTTTCCATTTCTGGAATTTCCCTGAGATATAAATATCTTTCTGGCTCTGAACATACATAAGTGACCGTGGGGACACTTAGTAAAAGAGAAAACAAATTTTGAGTCCTGAGTGATGATGGTCGCATAAGACTACAAAGCAAGAAAGATTCTCCTGTTGTGTCATTTTGGAAGCAGAGTTGACTCATTTTGCTAGTTAGTGCTTCGATGTTTTCATTAGGGGGTTTCTATCAGTCTTTATCTGAATCCCAGAAAAGAAAAATTATTTCCAAGCTAGGATAAAGCTGCATCTGTTGTAAGAAACACTGAGTCCTTAAAGCTTGCTATGAGTTTAAAAAATTATATAGAAGCTTTATGCCCAGGAATGTACATATTAAATCGAATCCTGCAGAGTTCAGCTAACTTAGGTAAAGCATGTGTGGAAATGTAAGACTGGCTAAACATTTTCAGTATTATCATTTTTACTAACATTCAAATTAAGTTCCTTTATTGGAATATATTAGCATATTTTCTAGCAATTGCATAGCACATTTTATTTTATTATTATTATTTTTTGAGACAGAGCCTCAAGCTGTCCCCCTGGGTGGAGTGCTATGGCATCACAGCTCACAGCAACCTCCAACTCCTGGGCTCAAGCGAGTCTCCTGCCTCCGCCTCTCAAGTAGCTGGGACTACAGGCGCCCGCCACAACGCCTGGCCATTTTTTGGTTGCAGCCATCATTGTTGTTTGGTGGGCCCAGGCTGGATTCAAACCCACCACCTTAGGTGTATGTGGCTGGTGCCTTAGCCACTTGAGCCACAGGTGCCGAGCCAGCATAGCACATTTTAGTGCAAATATTTCATCACATGGATAAACACAATCATATTTTATTATCTATTTGTCAAGGTTGGTATCATAAATTATAATTTAGCTTATGTAATTTCATCAAGCATCTCAAGGATAAATTAAAATTCACAGTAAAAATCCAACAGACTTGATATGTACAGACCACAAAAGCACTATTTTAAGCCATTGGGGGGAACAGGAATCCATAAGAAAGCTCCTAAGACATGCTTTTATACTAATTTTGAGTTGGCCATGAGAGGTCTAATAATCCGAAAAACACAAGGCTATTTTTAACCTACTTGCTCAAATATTTTGAGCCTCCAACCTGGAAAATAATGCTGATGTTTCCGACCCATGCCACGCCTGCTCTGGGGAACACAGTGGTGAACTGCTGTTTCTGTCTTGGTGAGCGCACTCAGGGGGCTTTGTGCTCCCCAAACTGCTGAAGAGTAGGGGTGCACTGTCCTCAGAAGCCAGTGCATTTTTAATTGTGAGTACCTTGAACTGAAATCCCATCAAAGACAGAAATATGAGGCACAAGATACCCCCAATTAGGTGCCATGTTGAAGTTTTTTTTTTTT